TGCCAAGATTTCCTTTAAGTGTTCGCACCTCTCTTGGTACTCAACAACCTTAGTTGAGATTTCCTTTGAGTATTCGAACCACTCCTGGTACTTAGCAACCTTGCCAAGATTCCTCAACTCAAATTGTGTTTAGTTGTAAGTATTTTAATTCTCTTTAGAATTGCAATCAATGATTACTTACAAGTAAATCAGACTAAATCTCTCATGGAGAGGATTTGATTACAATACAATGTAGTCTAAACACTCGTAGATGTTTATCTCTTCTCTCTTACAATGGTAAGATATATGACGGTTAAGCTCGAAAGTATCTCTTTTTCTTTTTCTCTTCTCTTCTTTTTTCTTCAGCTTAGATGTATCATTTTTCTTTGAGCTCTCTCTCTATTTTTCTCTTTAGGATGAATTTTTCGTTGTAAGGTCTTCTTATGCTCTGGTGTTATCCTCTTGATTTTCTTCTTGAAAGATATTCTATTTATAGACTTCATGGATATGTATCCGTTAGACTGGATTTGTAATTGACAGTGTCGATACTTGTAATTTTTGTTTCTTCTTTTCCCAACAGTCGTTGTGTAAGTCAACTCTTGTTAGAATAGTCGTTGTAACACCCTGATTTTCGAGATGTCACGATGCAATATTTTTTTTGAAACATAACATTTCCATAAAATATTCATTAAAACTATCAAACTTTATTTGAGATTTAATAGGTATGAGTGTTGAATCTTTTGGCAAGCGTACCAATAGTCAACTGTAGTATAATGATTTTTAAGTAAGAGTGTCGATCCCACGAGGAACAACTTCAATTAAATAGATAAATTTATCTCAAACAACATATATACAAGGGTATTCAACCTGATTAATAATGGATTTTGATAATTTATACTACGTTGCGTAAAAGTAAAATATTAACCGTAGATAAGTTAAAGAAAGTTTAATATGAGAAGTTGGGATTAAATTCATCTATCTGACTCGTCTGCAATCTGAATGAATATAAACATATAGCAATTGCAATTACCAATATTGATGCAATACACAAAAGTCATTTATACCGATTCCTCGCGTATAAAATTCATAAGGTCAGTTCCTTGAATATTGATTCCTCACACATCCAACAAACTGTCCAGCATTATATTCAAGTATTATAAGCAATTGATAAACTGAAATCTATCCCTACCATCACAGGATATCATGTATTCTTGTTCATATCAGATTTTAGAAATACTTTCCAATCAAAACTAAAACCCACATTCATGAAACTATTGATCAGATAGAATCAAGCACTAAGAGGAGAATGAAAATACCAATATTGAATAAAACAGAAATGCTATAGAAAAATATCACCAGATTACATCCGAGTTCGAATCGATTACATTCAATCCCAAGAGAAAAGATCAACCACTCATGGTGGCCATTAGCATTCTACGAGATGGTGAAGAAGATCCTACAGCTAAAGTAGAAGAACAACCCTTTTGATAACTCTGTGATTTTTCTCCGCCGCTCTCTCTGTTCTTCTTTCTTTCTAACTCGTGAGTATATATATTGAACGAATTCTCGCTTAAGCTAGATGATTATCGCTTAAGTGAAAAGAAACTTCTTGGAGAAGATAGGTCATTCTCGCTTAAGCTAAATTATTCTCGCTTAAGCGAGAATGACTTATAAAGTAATGGCTTCCTGGACGAATCTTGCTTAAACGAGATCATTTTAGCTTGGGCGAATTGTTGCAGGATTTGCTCTTCTCTCTTTTCTCTTCTCTCTTAATTTACCTAGAACATATACAAAATAGGGATCAAATGATTTTGTTTTAATCAACAACTCAGAAACATATGATTACATTTCATCTTTCTTAGATTGGGGCGAATTGATACAAATGTACACAATTTAAAACATAAGTGCTAAAATTTCATATGAAAATTTACTACTTTTTTGGACTTATCAACTCCCCCCAACCTAACATCTTGCTTGTCCTCAAGCAAAGTAATAAGATCCCAACAGCTTTTCAAAACTCATACTTTGAAATTGGTTATTTGAGAAATCAATTTCATAGTCCTTACAAGACAAATTGTGCATTCCAAACTACAGTTTCAAAATCAGAAGCAAATGGTGAATCCAATTATCAAATAAAAGCAGGATAGAAGTGCAACAAATTTTTCAAGACAATCAATTGTAAGAACCATTGACTCTAACCAAGGAAATTCTCTCTTGAATCTTACAAGGATGTGTTTCTCTCATTTCCACTGAAATTGAACAAATTAAAATTGCCAATCATTTTCAATCAAACTGCACACACAATCAACATGAATCTCAAGGACTTTTAAAGGTTGTAATGAGGCTGGGCTTCCAAGAATTATAGTTTTTCAAGATAACAAAAGCACAACTTTAGAAAAGAGAGCATAACTACACTTTAAACCCACTTCCAATTCTACTCTCAATTTATCCCATCTCATACCTTAAAACCCAATGTTTCTTTTTCATTCATTATTCACTCCTTCTTTTTCTTCTTTCCTTTTCTTGTTTTTTTATACATTTCTATACAATACTAAAGAGTGAATTAAAGTACAAAATACTCAGCCCCTTTCTTTTCTAAGTACAATTCCACCAACCAATTCCCATTTTAAAATTGAATAAAATGCACCTATACTCTTTATCCCTAAAGTGTGAAAAGGGAAAGGATACTAATTAAAGCTAAGGATAAGGTGCATAATTCAAAGCAATTAGCCTCAAATAGGCTATCACAAAAGGATGATTATTCCTAGGTTGGATGTTTGGCACTGAGTTATTTAAATTCAACAAAACTGCCTTGATCATTTCCATGCTTCAAGTGTGATGTTATCCAAATGAAAACTCAAGCAATATCAACTTGACAACAAACACTGGAAACTCTCAAATTGTTTAAGGATTCACACACTCACTGGGTTCTGTGTTTGGTTTCTTTCCTTGGTATATCACTTGTTGTTACAATTGATTATCTTAACCAATTATCCAGCACTAATATCATAATCCCATTTAACTATGGATTCAACCAAAATTTTCCTTTTTTTTTCAGTTGTACTATCTTAGGACACTTTTTGAAACTTGATTTCTCTTTAACCAATTTCCTCAAGAAAGATTTTCTTATAATTCCCAAAAAATTTATTTTTAGTTGTGTATGTGCTCTGTGCAATATTAAGCAAAAAGTAATTGAAATTGTACATTCTAACCAAAACAAGTAAAGCATAATATTACTAAAATAAAAGTTCTGCAGTCAAACAAAAAAACCGTATTTTATTGATTTCTTGTGGTTTGAATAGTGTTGTGTGTCAATCTCCCCTCATAACTCTATCAAAATTAGTCTGAAACTCCTCCTCTTGAAGGTCCACTCTGATTGCCTCTTGAAGGTTCAATTGCAAAATTGGTTTCAGGTCTAGTTGGTCCACTTCCCCCTGAAAAAATTGGACTGTCCCCAGGCCACTATAAGTATGCCAAGAATTCTGGTGGAGTCATGCCTGGATATGGTCGTCGAACATTGTTATAGAGGTACTCATAAAGGTGAAGTTGTCCTTTATGGTGCATTTCATCAACTAAGTTAGGCATTTCATTGAACAGTTCATGTGCATCTTCATAAATCAAATTTTCATGAATTAATCCATACACAAACAACCTACACTATTCAGTTATACCAACAACTCCACTTAAACATTCACAACAATTCATGGACAACAGCACGCATGGGCACTACCTTAGGGTTCCACAAAACATACAGAGAAAAACCCAAATTTGTTCTTTGAAAATGGAAGATAGTGAAGTAGAACTTACCTTCAAGGGAATTTAGCAAAGGGAGGAAGGGATTGGTGAGTTAATTGTGTGCCACTGGACCAAGAACTCGTGCCCTATATTTTTAGGAGAGAAAGCATGGTTTTGGAGAGAAGGAGGTTATGAACCAGCTCTTCCATGTCTGAGTTTTAATACAGGGTCATGTATTCTCGCTTAAGCTAAAATTTTTTCGCTTAAGCTAGATTGATAGGCAACAATTTTAAAAAGTTTCGCCCCAGCGACCCAAGTTTCGCCTAAGCGAAACAGTTCCACTGGCTCAACCTCATTTGCAAGACATTTTCGTCCAAGCGAGCATGGTTTCAAATAAGCGAAAATGTTCCAATGGATACCCTAAGTTTTAGCCTAATTCTCGCCCAGGCGACTGCTTTTTAGCTTAAGCGAAATTGCTACCATGAGCACTGGAATGTGATTTTCAATTCTCGCCCAGGCGACTTATTTTGAGCTTAAGCGAAATTGTTCCAGTGGCACTCTAAGTTTTATCTTGAATCTCGCCCAGACAAAGCAAGTTTTGCTCAAGCGAAAAAGCTCCAGTGGCTTAACCTTAGATACAGGACATTTTTAGCTTAAGCGAAAATATCAGCAAAACTTGTGTTTCAATTTTCTGCATATCTCGCCCAAGCGAGAAGGTTTAGCCTAGGCGAAAATAATACAGTTTTTGCCACTTTTGAAAAAATTTCAACTTTTACTCACCTAATTCATGATGAATTCAATCTAATTAATCCAGAGACACATATCAATCTATTCCTCAACCAATTATCTATCATTTCCAGAAGTTTCACATCATCAAATGCAAAATCAAACTCCCAAACTCAAATTTCACAATTTGGCCAAAACAAGGCAATTTTTAACATTCAATGAACTCAATTTTGGCACCAAAACTTATTATCAAGCATGACACAAACATTTTGGAACAAAAAGCACTTAGGCATGCATGGTTTGCCCTATTGAGACATTTAAATGTTAAAACTTACCCTTTTGCATACAAACACATAATATATATACACAAACACAATAAACACACAAGATAAAATTCAAATGCGAGAACATAATTAAACACTGGGTTGCCTCCCAGAAAGCGCTTGTTTAACGTCATGAGCCTGATGCCTATATCATTATGTTTTGTCCAATTGGATGATTGTGGCAAGTCTATCAACCTCACCACCAAAGTAGGGCTTCAATCTTTGCCCATTTAAAAACTAGCTTCTTTTGGTTTCAAGATCCTCTAACTCAATAGCTCCATAAGGTTTGACAACCTTTACAAGAAACGGTCCTGAGCATTTTGATTTGAGTTTTCCAAGAAATAACCTTAACCTGGAATTGAACCATAAAACTAATTGGCTTGGGTAGAATTCTCTCTTGAAAATTTTCTTGTCATGATAAGCTTTCATCCTTTCCTTGTAGAGCTTAGAGGATTCATAAGCATCGAATCTCATTTCTTCAAATTCCTGCAGTTGTAATCTTCTTTTCTCTCTTGCTGCCTTTGAATCCAAATTTAAAAATTTCAAGACCCATAATTTCTTGTGCTCCAACTCGACTGGTAAGTGACATGACTTACCATATACCAGCTGAAATAGGGATAAACCAGTAGGGGACTTATAAGCAGTTCTATATGCCCACAGTGCGTCATCCAGCTTTTGACTTTCAGTTTTCTTTTCTTTCTGCAATTTCTCATATTGTATTTCATTTGATGCAATTGCTTTTTTTGAATTCAAGTGTATCAAATATTCATCAACTTTCTTCTCATCTTCTTTTTCCAACTCATCACAAACACCAATTAAATCTTTCTTCAATAGACTTGCTTTTGTCAATTGTTTCCTGGCTGACAAACAAATTTCATCAACCACATCCATTTTTGAAACATTGTTGTTTGTCTTTAGGGTGCTGGATTGCTTCAAAAACATTAAAGTTGACTTCATCATCCTACACTCTGACCTTTAGTTTGCCACCATCAACATCAATAATGACCTTAGCAGTCTTCATAAAAGGTCTTCGCAGTATTAGAGGAACTTCAACATCTTCCTCAATATCCATCACCACAAAGTCAATTGGGAACATGAATTTATCAACTTTAACCAAGACATCCTCTACCACACCATAGAGATATTTCATGGATCTGTCAGCTAACTATAATGTCATCCGTGTAGGCCTTACTTCCAAATCTCCTATTCTTTTTAGCATGGACAAAGGCATCAAATTTATACTGGCACCCAAGTCAAGTAATGCTTTACCTACTGGCAATGTCCTGATTGTGACTAGAATGGTGAAACTTTCAGGGTCCTTGGACTTCTGAGGTAATGATTTTTGGATTATAGCACTGCAGCCTGCTTCAAGCTCCATTGTTTCTTCAAAAAATCTTCTTTTCTTTGTCAGAAGCTTTTTCATAAATTTTGCATAGGTTGGCATCTGCTCCTTAGCTTCCACAAATGGAATATTAATATGCAATCGGTTGAAAATATCCATGAACCTTGCAAACTGCCTTTCCTTATCCCTTTTGGACGGGTTTTGAGGGTAAGGTAGGTTCTTCAACAGCGGTATTTGTGTTCTCACCTTTCTCCCTCTTTTTCTCTTTATTTCTTCTTTTTCTACTCTTTTATTCACATACTCACTTTTATTTTTCTCTTCCTCTCCTTCACACTCATTTTTCTCTTTCTTATTTTCTTTTTTCTCCAAAACTTCCTCCTCCACAACTAGATTTTCTTTCATCCCTCTTCCCACAATTTTACCACTCCTGGTAGTAATTGATTTACAATGTTCCTTGGGATTAGTTTGGGTGTTGGCTGAAAAATGACCTGCATGTTGATCTGATAGTTGTTTAGCCAACTGTCCAACCTGTGTTTCAAGATTTCTGATTGAAGCTTTTGTATTTTTCTGATTGGTCATAGAAGCTTGCATGAACTTTTCTAGAGTATCCTCCAATTTGGTTATTCTTTCATACATAGATGGATTTTGTTGTTGATGCTGATAAGGAGGTTGTCTATTTGAAGGATCAACATCTTGTTTCCATCCAAAATTCTAACTTTGATTGTTTCTCCACCCTTGTGAAAAGTTATCATTGTTAGAGAAATTACTTGTGCTTCCTTGATTACTCATATATTAAACTTCTCCTTCTTGTGGGCAACTTTTATATGAACAATAACCATTGAGATGGTCACCTCCACAGAAGTTACATCTCATGGGTTGTTGAGTAGGAGAAGATTGTATTGCTTTTAATTGCTCAGGTAGATTAGCCATCTGTTTGGTTAATGCTTCCATCTACTGAGTCAAAATTTTATTCTGAGCTAAAATTGCATATGTAGTACTAAGATCAAGCATTCCTTTCTATTGAACTGTTTGTCTATTATGTTGAGCTTGATAGTCTGTAGATGCTAGTGCCTCGATGATTCTTATTGCTTGCTCTGCATCTACAAACATCATTGTTCCTCCAGCTGCTGCATCTAATATCATTTTTGTGTCTGGCCTCAGACCATTGCAGAAAATATTTAGTTGAGCAATATCTTCAAACCCATGATTTGGGCATCTCCTCAATAAAGAATTAAATCACTCCCAAGCTTCACAGAATGGCTCATCTGGTCCTTGTCTAAAAGTAGAAATCTCAGCTTTTGCCTTAATGTACGAGAAGGTGGAAAGAATCTATTCAAGAATTTATCTTCTAGATCACTCCACTTGTTCAGACTCTGGTTTGGATGTGATTTAAGTCATTCCTTTGCTTTTTCTGTCAAAGAAAAAGGAAACAAACACATAAAAACATTATCAAGATCCCTTTCTTCAAATCCCATAGTTCCTATCAGTTCATAGAACGTAGAAAGATGAATATATGGATCTTCATTATCCATTCCAGTGAATTGATGAGAACTGATTAGGCTAAGGAAAGCTAGCTTCATCTCCAATGTTTTGGTGGTGGGCGGTATTACTATGCTAGAAAAATATCTTGGCCCTTGTTGCATAGCATAGTCTCCCAGTGTTCTTCTAAGTGGGGTTGGTCCTTCTTCCGCCATGTTTTTTGTTTCCTGATGTGTGATGGAAGTATTGGAAGATGCTTCCTTTGTTTTTTCTTGCTTCTTCTTATGTTTTCCTCTACTTCTTCGAGCTATTTTTTTCTATCTCTAGGTCAAATGCTAATTGATCTTTAGAAACATGACCTCTTAAGAACATAAATCAAAACAGATCAAGCACGGATTAGTACAAAAGAGAAAACTAAATAAACTAAATAAATAAAAAGAAATATTCACAAAGCTGGATGAGATAACTTTAAAAATTCANGTAATAAGATCCCAACAGCTTTTCAAAACTCATACTTTGAAATTGGTTATTTGAGAAATCAATTTCATAGTCCTTACAAGACAAATTGTGCATTCCAAACTACAGTTTCAAAATCAGAAGCAAATGGTGAATCCAATTATCAAATAAAAGCAGGATAGAAGTGCAACAAATTTTTCAAGACAATCAATTGTAAGAACCATTGACTCTAACCAAGGAAATTCTCTCTTGAATCTTACAAGGATGTGTTTCTCTCATTTCCACTGAAATTGAACAAATTAAAATTGCCAATCATTTTCAATCAAACTGCACACACAATCAACATGAATCTCAAGGACTTTTAAAGGTTGTAATGAGGCTGGGCTTCCAAGAATTATAGTTTTTCAAGATAACAAAAGCACAACTTTAGAAAAGAGAGCATAACTACACTTTAAACCCACTTCCAATTCTACTCTCAATTTATCCCATCTCATACCTTAAAACCCAATGTTTCTTTTTCATTCATTATTCACTCCTTCTTTTTCTTCTTTCCTTTTCTTGTTTTTTTATACATTTCTATACAATACTAAAGAGTGAATTAAAGTACAAAATACTCAGCCCCTTTCTTTTCTAAGTACAATTCCACCAACCAATTCCCATTTTAAAATTGAATAAAATGCACCTATACTCTTTATCCCTAAAGTGTGAAAAGGGAAAGGATACTAATTAAAGCTAAGGATAAGGTGCATAATTCAAAGCAATTAGCCTCAAATAGGCTATCACAAAAGGATGATTATTCCTAGGTTGGATGTTTGGCACTGAGTTATTTAAATTCAACAAAACTGCCTTGATCATTTCCATGCTTCAAGTGTGATGTTATCCAAATGAAAACTCAAGCAATATCAACTTGACAACAAACACTGGAAACTCTCAAATTGTTTAAGGATTCACACACTCACTGGGTTCTGTGTTTGGTTTCTTTCCTTGGTATATCACTTGTTGTTACAATTGATTATCTTAACCAATTATCCAGCACTAATATCATAATCCCATTTAACTATGGATTCAACCAAAATTTTCCTTTTTTTTTCAGTTGTACTATCTTAGGACACTTTTTGAAACTTGATTTCTCTTTAACCAATTTCCTCAAGAAAGATTTTCTTATAATTCCCAAAAAATTTATTTTTAGTTGTGTATGTGCTCTGTGCAATATTAAGCAAAAAGTAATTGAAACTGTACATTCTAACCAAAACAAGTAAAGCATAATATTACTAAAATAAAAGTTCTGCAGTCAAACAAAAAAACCGTATTTCATTGAATTCTGGAGGTTGGAAGAGTGTTGTGTGTCAATCTCCCCTCATAACTCTATCAAAATTAGTCTGAAACTCCTCCTCTTGAAGGTCCACTCTGATTGCCTCTTGAAGGTTCAATTGCAAAATTGGTTTCAGGTCTAGTTGGTCCACTTCCCCCTGAAAAAATTGGACTGTCCCCAGGCCACTATAAGTATGCCAAGAATTCTGGTGGAGTCATGCCTGGATATGGTCGTCGAACATTGTTATAGAGGTACTCATAAAGGTGAAGTTGTCCTTTATGGTGCATTTCATCAACTAAGTTAGGCATTTCATTGAACAGTTCATGTGCATCTTCATAAATCAAATTTTCATGAATTAATCCATACACAAACAACCTACACTATTCAGTTATACCAACAACTCCACTTAAACATTCACAACAATTCATGGACAACAGCACGCATGGGCACTACCTTAGGGTTCCACAAAACATACAGAGAAAAACCCAAATTTGTTCTTTGAAAATGGAAGATAGTGAAGTAGAACTTACCTTCAAGGGAATTTAGCAAAGGGAGGAAGGGATTGGTGAGTTAATTGTGTGCCACTGGACCAAGAACTCGTGCCCTATATTTTTAGGAGAGAAAGCATGGTTTTGGAGAGAAGGAGGTTATGAACCAGCTCTTCCATGTCTGAGTTTTAATACAGGGTCATGTATTCTCGCTTAAGCTAAAATTTTTTCGCTTAAGCTAGATTGATAGGCAACAATTTTAAAAAGTTTCGCCCCAGCGACCCAAGTTTCGCCTAAGCGAAACAGTTCCACTGGCTCAACCTCATTTGCAAGACATTTTCGTCCAAGCGAGCATGGTTTCAAATAAGCGAAAATGTTCCAATGGACACCCTAAGTTTTAGCCTAATTCTCGCCCAGGCGACTGCTTTTTAGCTTAAGCGAAATTGCTACCATGAGCACTGGAATGTGATTTTCAATTCTCGCCCAGGCGACTTATTTTGAGCTTAAGCGAAATTGTTCCAGTGGCACTCTAAGTTTTAGCTTGAATCTCGCCCAGACAAAGCAAGTTTTGCTCAAGCGAAAAAGCTCCAGTGGCTTAACCTTAGATACAGGACATTTTTAGCTTAAGCGAAAATATCAGCAAAACTTGTGTTTCAATTTTCTGCATATCTCGCCCAAGCGAGAAGGTTTAGCCTAGGCGAAAATAATACAGTTTTTGCCACTTTTGAAAAAATTTCAACTTTTACTCACCTAATTCATGATGAATTCAATCTAATTAATCCAGAGACACATATCAATCTATTCCTCAACCAAT